AGGGGAAAACCACCCAGCTTTGTCTGTGTCCTAAACATACTCAGCTTTGTAAAACAGCACCGTTGTATTTGTTTCAGTGTGGCTGCCCTTTGGGGAATTTGCAGGAATACTGCAGCAAATCATCCTGCATGCAAGGCTGACCTCTGGGAGGCTAACAAATTGAGGTGAGCCAGCTGGAGGGATAGGACACTGCTGATAGACAGAGCATGCTCAGAGTCAGCTAGGGGAGAAAGGTAGCTCAGTCTGCAGTTGGTGCACTGGTTACTGCTCTGGTAGATATTTTTTTTTTGTTGGGAGGGGTGGGGGGGAGATTGGAGAGAGGGTTCCCCTGCAAGAAATAGATTTAAGATTTTTCTTTTTCTTGTGAAAGAGAGAGGCATTGGATAATGTTTCCTTTTATATAGCAGATCAGGTATGCATGCATGTGCTGAAATCCTAATCCGTTAGGGATAGCGCTTTTCCAAGGATTAAGGAGGTTGCAGATGCTCTGAATTAATGTACTGCTTTGGTGAGTGTTAATTGTAATCATTCTCTGTTAGCTGTTGAGCTCACATACGGATCTGACTTCAGTTTTGCAGGTTGCTCTGTTTGCCCACCTTTTTATAGTGCACTTCTTGGGTTTTTTAATGTGTGTATCAGATCATTGTTCGAATTAATTTGTCTGAATTTTTCCTCTGTGGTTGTGTGTGTGATCAGTATTTAATTTATAATCCCCGCCTTCATGCATTTTTTTTGTTTTGAGTATTTTGGAACAAATGATTTGTGGGGAGGAAATCCTGTTTCTGATATAGACTGAATTCTGGGCTTCTTAAGAAAAATTTCTCAACTTGACAGTTTTACTGTCTCTACAGAACATGTCACTGTATAGCCTGTCAACCTACAAGGCTTTTAATGTTCTTATTGGCTGTGCTGGGTTGCTAACATTTTAGGCTCCTGTTTAGAATTTCTAGCACATAGAAACTGTTCCAGACACCATGCTAAATGGGAAACCTGAACTGCTCATACTAATTGTTATAAAGACAATTTTGTACTATCCTTTTAAATTTCTATCCAGACAGTACCCAAGCTGTTTCTTTTATGAGGAGGAGGAAGACTATAGAAACAAATGGCTACCAAAACCCAGAGTCAGTGAGATTCATATTTGAGTGCATTTTGGTATCAACACTTTCTGGATATTCATATTAGTTTTGCAGGATTAGTAAATTCTTTTTTTCCTTGGAGTTATTTTTTAATTTATGGATAATTGTCTATCAGATTTCTTATTAGTGGTTTTCCTGACATGCATTTTTATTGATAATGAAGACTTGTTGCTTACAAAAAAACAGGGGAAAGATCCTGCAGCTTTTTTTCTGATTAGCATCATTGGCTCCAATATAGCTTGATTCATGTGAGAGGAACCATTGATTTCAGTGGGATTACTTATGTGAGTAAAGGTTAACAGGTGTGAACTCTTGTTAACAGTTTCCTCCACCTATCCTTCATCAACTAAAAGAGTCTTTTGGGTTGGTGAGTCTTCAAGTGCCAAGGCTCCCAGGCATGTACCCAGAGAGGCATTGTTAGCTCTCCTGCCAGTAGTTTTACTTAAACCCCCAGCTGCTGAAGTCATGTGGTTACATGACAATCTCAGCTTTTTGTTGTTAGTGGAAGTTTCCAGCCTTCCTGATTGTGGAGAAAAGCTTTAAAACGGGACCCCTAAAAGCTTGTAAACCAGAACACAAATAAGACTCAATTTATTTAAAAATTTCTTAATTTTTAACTCTGTCTCCTGATGTTTTGTTTTTGTTTTGTTTGTTAGACCCTGACTTTCAATATTTGGGGTTGGCAATACTGCATTTCTGACCCTTTTAGAGGCCAGGCATTTTGATAGAAGAGAACAGTATGAATAAATATTATTTCAATAGAATACAGTCACTTGAAAGTTACTATCCAGCTCTGAATGACTATGAAAGAAATCGATTACATGAGGGAATTTTTTTTCCCAAAGGCAAACTGGTAGTTAGGTGCATGGGCCAATGGGCATTAGGCATCTAACTGCTATATGTGCCTTTGAAAAAAATCTTTCCCCCTTGTAGCGTACTTTATTTTCCTTTTCATAGTGAAGATATATTTGAAATGGAGAACATTTAACAAAAGGAAATGTTATATGGAGAACCTGCCTTCTTGTTTGCAATCTCCTATAGAGCAAGGTTTTTGATTTAGATGAAGCCTTAAAATTAAAATAAACCTGTTTTGTTTATGAATGTCAGTGATACTGAGGTGTCTATAAAATAATATTTTAAACATTTCTGATGATTACTTTTCTGATATAGCCCTATTTTTAAAATCCCATTTGAGAATTGAAATTTCAGGTGTTCTGCTTTATACATTTCTCTTCTAAGGCAGACTTGATTAATGGTATTTGCTACTTCAACTACATGGCTTAGTCCCTTCTTGATTTTGTAGTTGTTCTACAAAGCTGCTTTTTTCTTTAAAAAATCAGCACATCTGTAGTTTCCTGCTTTTTAGTAAGAAATTTACTCACAAAATATATCAATTTCTTAATATACAACACTTTCATTGGATAACTCAATGGTTTATGAACATTGATCATGTGATTTAAATAAGTAATTATGTACAGTACATAAGATGACGAAACTGAGGCACAGAGAGTTTGTGACTTGTGCATGGTCACACAGGAAGTCAGTGGCAAGGCTAGGAATAAAACCAAGAACTATAGACTCTGTCCTGTTTTCTCACCAGCCCTTCCAGATATTTCCCTTGTGACCATAAAAGAAGCAGGAATTCACAACTTTGTGTGTGTGTAGAAGCTCTTCTACTGGAGAAAGAGAAGAGACGAGAAGGCTTGTGAAGTCTACTAGAGACTTTGTTATGCAGATTGAATGTACCTGGAAAGTATTTAGGCTATGTCTACACTATGCACCTTTTAGCGACACAGCTGTGCCGCTATAGCCATGCTGTTAAAAGATGCACAGTGTAGCTGCTGTTTGTCGGCAGGAGTTGAGTCGACTTTTTTTTATTGTCCAAGCTGAGTGAAAGGCAAGAAATAATCATAAAAACATGGCAGAGAGACTGCTCTTTAAAATTCTTTCAGTTGCAATAATCTATGGATGTTATGAATAAGATCTTTTTAAAAATATATTAATTTTGACAAGAGTGTGCCCCTTTAATAACTAGTTTCAGCTACCTCTCTTATTGAAGCAGACATCAAAGTGTTGCTGAACAAGGCAGCACCTACTGTAAGCAGGCTGGCTTCAAGCATGAATATATGGTGTTCTGAAATAAGCACCCATTAATGGAGAGAGACTTAGTTACTGTATCAAATCTTACATAATGGTAACGAAAATCCTGCAAGATAGTCTAATTGCAGCGTAGACATACCCAAGCATCTGCTTCTGGCCTGTGCCAACTAACCCAGGCTGTTGGAGCTTGGGCTATGGGGCTGTGGCGTAGATGTTCCAGCTCAGGCTGGAAGCTGAGCTCCGGGACCCTGCGATGGGGGAGGGGCCCAGAGCCTAGGCTCCAGCTTGAGCCCAAATTCCCACACCATAATTAAACAGCCTCGTAGCCTGAGCCCTGCATTCCCAAGTCATCTGATACTGGCCAGACGCAGGTGTTTAATTGCAGTGTAGACAGAGCCTCTAAGTCTATGAAATGTGCGCTTTCTGAGCAGACGTGAGCTGCTGAAGGGTTTACTTGCTTATCAGTAATAAATATTAACTAAAAAGTGATAGTTGAACTGAGGTTTTCTGACGATAGGGAGCCATGAACACTAGTTAGCCCACTTGCTAAAGGATGGGAAGGGGAGGCTGCTGGCAGCTCACCTTCCCGTAGGTGACTCCTCATTGGCCATTTTAACTAAAATTAAAGCAACCAAAGACAAGTTGGCGCTTCCTCAAGTCTCTGCTCTTCTTCCAGTCTCTGTCCACTCATCTTTCCTACCAGAAACTAGAGAGGCCCCTCCAACTTTCTAATCCTCCTGGTGCTGAGTGTGCTGTGTGTCTTGGCTCCACGCCTCAGCTTTTTTTCTGCAAATCTCTCTTATCCCACTTTCTTTGCACCCAGACCTTCCCATCTCAGCCATCACACTCCCAGGCATCAGCTGCTCCCAGCCATCATCAAGCTTCCTGCCAGGGCAGTCTGCTGGTTGTGATTCTCTCTCTTCCACTCCTCTCCAATAACCTGTCTGTGTCAGGAATCGTCCAGGGAGCCTCCTTTGGGGCATCATAGCCCTTTGAGCTTGGCAGCAAGAAGGCTCCCTGTGCTTTTACAAGTGTTCCTTCTGGCGAGGCTCTAATCTGTGTGCTGTCATTTCTTCCGGTGCTGCCGAATGAGAGTTCTTGAACATTTCAAAGCACTGTACAAACGTTGGTCAATCCTTGCAGCATCCTTGGAGACTGAGATGCATGTTTCTGTAGAGCAGAGGTTCTCAAACTGCAGGTCATGACCCCTCAGGGGGTTGTGAGGTGGTTACATAGGGGTTGTGAGCCCGGCCATGTGTGGGGACTATCAGCCCCGAGCCCTTGTTAAATTAAAATTACCCTGCTCCCTGTTTCTAATTTATAAGGGGGAGTGTTCACACTTAAAGGCTTGGTGTGAAAGGGGTCGCCAATACAAAAAGTGTAAGAACCACTGCTGTAGATTGAGGGCATGGCACTGAAAGATGCCATGGTGGGTGGGTGGATTGGGAGGGCTGGGGCAGGAAAGCAGTTCTGAACCATTACGCTCCCATTTTCCCCCCGAGGTTGAAGAGCTGTTTGAAGAACTGAGGATGAGTGGCATTAAACAATCCATCTGGCCTGTCTATAGCACTTTTCATGCTCAAAGTGCTTGCAGATATTAAACTTTCCTCCCAACACACCAATGATGGAGAGATGCAAAATAACTCTCATGTCGCAGGAAGGGATTTGGAGAGGTTAAGTAACTAAAGTTATTTCCATGGTGAAGGCTGTCTCTCTTACAGGGAAGTGTTAATTTCAAAATTATCTACTTCCTCATGGCAGGTATCCACATCAGAAGACCCTCCTGACAACTGAGAGAGGCTGAGGAGCCAGTGGATTTGGAGGCTTGCTGGCTGGTCCTCTTTCCCCTGGATGTGGCTCATCCTGACTGGGTAGAGGCCCATACGTGAAACAGTATGGGACACCTTACACTACCACTATTTATGCTGTACCTTTCTGTGAATGAGCAAAAGACTTCAGCCCTTAGGGCTATCCATCCAGCATCTCCCCTAGCGCTGTGTTCACTGAACGTGTAAGAGAGAAGAAAATGAAAGGTACAGTCCTGCAGAAAATGAGCAAACATTCCAGAAAAGTCCTAAAATTGCAGAATCCACAATTCAGTTGTGCCACTGACTTTTTTCTCTTTCCTCCCTAAATCCTGCTTCTGGCCAGTTTTTCTTTGTTCACCTCCAGCAAAAGCAGCCTTCCGCCAAACAGCATGAACCAGGATTTATGCATCTCTCTAGGCAGCTGGGAACAAGTATGATGATGGAGTCCTTCAGCAATGCTGGCTTTTAACAGCCATCCCTGAAAGTTGCATGGCTAAAGAAAACACACTTGCCTCCGCTAAGTGCAGAGGAGTGAAAGATTTGCTGTAGGGAGGGGAGGAAGGAAATCCGGTAAAAAGGATGTTAAAAAGCAGAGTTATTTACTACAATAGTTGTACAGGCACTAATGCAACAATGTGTAAAATGACAGATTTTTAACCTGTGTATTTGTAAAAGAGATCCGTCCAGGCCACTTTTCAGACATGGAGTTAGAAACCAATCTTAAACTAGTTCTTATGCTGTCCCTTGGGGGCTGATAGGATAAAGAAATATTAGAATAGACTTTTCCTCTAAGGAGGATGGCATGGCTCCCGGGTTTTTAGTGAGAGACACAACCTTCCACCTTGGGGTTTCCAGTTGAGATCTAGATGAGTATAGGAGTGTTTGAAGATTGATACCTCAGGTGACTCTTTGACCTTTTTTTTTTCATGTTAGAGTAAAATAAGTTAAAGGCCTGATTTATTTGTCAGAGGTGCTGAGCACTAGCAGTTCCCGTTGACTTCAGGAGGAGTTTTGAACACTTAGTGCTTCTGAAAAACCAATGTTAAGGTTTGTGCTGCCCTCAGATTGACCCTTATTTTTAGCATTTTAAATTCTTCAGAGCTAAAGGCTTTCTTCCAGATCTGCCTTTTATATACTGAGTAGCATGCTTTGAAGGAGGTCACTTGGACTCTATCTTCTTCTTTGCTGGATTGATATTGCTAATTAAAGCAATTTCCATTGTGTACGTGTAGCTAAAAAGATGGGCTGTTTACATAGTCTAATACTATTGCTAGATTATTTACCAGAATATCAAAGTAGAAAAAAGAAAAGGGAAACATGCTTTGGAAACAATATACCCAGCACTGAAGTAGAACTGTAGATCAACAAAATAAATGTAGATCGACCTGCAAGTGTAAGATCCTAGCTCTTGGATTATTCCCTCCCCTCAAAACTCAGTGGCCTTTTCTACACTTACAGGTCAGCATCAGTGCAGCTACACCAATTGATGGCTATTAATGGTGGAGCCTGGGCTGTTCTGAGCATAAACAAGGCCTTGGTCAAAGTTTCAACGGTGCCACCATTGGTGACTCATAAAATCAAATGTATCTTTCTTTGCTTTTTGCTGTCTGGCACTTACTGAGCTAGATACTCATTCAGTCTACCTGCCAGAGGAGATGGACTTCATCTCTGGTCCCAGCAAAGGCTGATCCCAAACTGAAACTGCTGTTTTGATCTCCAAAGATCACCTCTACAATCTGCGTCCTTAACAATGAGCTTAGACTACCTATAACTTCCAAATTCCCCTTGGGGGGGAGGGGGGAATGTGTGCCTGTGCGTGGGCATGCATGTCTGTGTACGTGTGTGTATGTATGTCTATGTATATATGTGTAGACATACATATATACTAAGTCTGCCTATTATATTATTCTGAGTTTGCTATCAACCTACCGTGCAATTCTTTCCACAGTTCAACAATATAGAAATAACAAAACCAATGTACGTCTGGCTTAGAATGCAAAGGGATCAATACTAATTCATTGGACTTACCTAAGCATTTGTGAGTTTAAACTTACAGCAAAATCAGTTTAAACTACTCCCTACAAATAAAATTAGAAATGGTTTGGTCAGACATGAGACCAATCAGATATTGTCCTTCCAATAATTCCCCCTGGGTCTTGGTTACAATTTATTTGCAATCTGATTAACAGTGAATATGACGCATACTGAAAATTGGAGCTCAGAAATGCTGCAAATGAATTGGTGCATAAATTGAAGTCCTAAAGAATATAATGTAATTGATGCTCAAACATAAACCAATAACAAACCTAAATGAAAGGAGGCTGGTGTCCTCTCAAATGGAAATTGCCAAGACCTCTGCCATTGGAAAAAGGGAACACTGAGTCCCTGCACCAGCAAGCACATAGAGATGAGTTTAGGGTCAGATTTTCAAGTGTGCCAATTTCAATGGGAACAGAGCTAGGCTAATGTTGAATGCCTTTGAAAATGTCACACTTTTGGGGAGGGGTGGGGGAGGAATGCCTGGAATGTTTCTTTTAGATATGTCAAAGGTTAGCTGTACTGGTGTGAGTCAGCTGCGCCCTTGCTGGACAAGGGTGTGTTCATTTTAAAACAGCTGTGACCCCTCAAACAAAGAGCCAAACTTTCTCCTGTGCAGATATTTAGGACTAGACAACTCAGACCCATCGATCCTAGGCTTCAGCCAAGAAACACAGTGTAATTTGGAAGTGTGAAGCCCCATCCATCCTCCTGGGCTGGCTGTGCTCTGGGCCAGTGTTATGTTGCCATGAGGTAGAGCAGCCTCAAGGATGCACTAAATTACTCTGGCTGTCAGTAACCCCAAGCCCTGGGCACTCTTCCTATGCCAGAAGCTGGGAGGGGAATGGAGTAGGAGCAACTCCTCTGTGTTGCTGGGGGATCCCCTGGCAATTGACTTGTGATTGGGTATGCTACTGTTTGACTGCTCTGTATTGGTGGCCTGGCACAATGTGGGCACAGCATAGCTGAGGATCCAGACCATTGTTTTCATTCACTCTTTCCTTTTATTTGTTTGGATGAAGTTGGCCCGCTCTGTTGTTTACCAATGGATCCAAGAGCTGTGTGACTCTCCAGAGGTTCTTTGCATCTACACATCCACCCTGCTAACCCCTCTCTCCAATATCGGCATAATTCTTGCATCAGCCGCTGTTGTTGCGCCTTCCTTCCCACGCCGTTCATGGCCATGCAGTAGCCATCGTGTAGGAGGGGTAACAGATGATGTGTGAGGCAACATTAATGTCTGGCCAGATGACCTCATGGGATCATACTTTGGAGAGAGGAACCAGCTTCATTTCCTCCCACCTCCCCCCCCGACCCCAGACCTGTGGAGTTCAAGCGATGAGAAGCCCTGCTGGAGTCACTTCTCGTGGGCTTGTAGAGTCTGCTGTGGAATCAGCTCCCTCCACCTAAAAGCCTTTTGAAAAGGTCCCAAGTGACGTGCCCAAGACCACAGGGGAAGGCCATGGCAAAGCAGAGAACTGAACCCAAGTCTCTCAAGCTCCAGGCTAGTGCTCTAAACACTGGGCCATTTGTCCTCTCTACTGAACTACCCTATTGTAAATAGCTTGAGAAAGTTAGGTTTGAAGCATATTCCTAATGAAAATAATTGCTTAGATTGCCTAATGCATATGCACAAAATTCATCTTGCCATTTATTTTACTTAAATGGTAGAAACTAAAAGAAGAGGGGAAGCTGCTTTTCATAGCTTCTCAAAATCCCCCCCCCCCCGCCTTTGAGTTCAGTTTTGGACAGTTTCTTACCTGCACCTCTCTCCCATTTCCTGGGGGGGGGTGTGTGGAATGCTGAGAAATTTAAAAAAAAAAAGATTCCAATGGCTTCTTTCTTTTGTTTTGTTTTCCGCAGGACTTTGCTGTCACCATGTCAAAGAGGATTAATGATGTTGGCTCTTTCCATTGTGTTCCCCACCTGTCGTCTTGGTAGGATCTAGCTGCAGAATGAACATAGCAGCGGTGTTTAATGCCCTGCTAGTGTCTGCCCTTGCAGCTGTGCTTTGGAAATACATCAAGCTGCGAGAGCACGTCTTCGTGCTTGAAGAAGAGCTGGTCCTCACTCGCCAGTCCCAGGAACTCTCTCAGGTCCAGATTGACTACCATGCGGCTCTTCAGGCCCTGGTGGAGGACGGTACCAGGATGGTGTGCACAGGCAGGATGCACACCGATCGCATCTGCCGCTTTGAGTCCCTCTGTTACTCCACTGAGGCAGAGGAGTTTGTCTTCTTTCACAGCAACGCGTCAGTTATGCTTCCCAACCTTGGTTCCAGGAGATTCCAACCTGCCTTGCTTGATCTCTCCTCGGTGGAGGACCACAACACCCAGTACTTCAACTTTGTGGAACTGCCAGCTGCTGCGTTGAAATTCATGCCAAAGCCAGTCTTTGTGCCTGATGTGGCACTCATCACCAACCGATTCAACCCGGACAACTTGATGCACGTCTTCCACGATGACCTCCTCCCGATCTTCTACACCATGCAGCAGTTCCCAGACTTGGATCTGGAGTCACGACTCTTCTTCATGGAGGGGTGGAGTGAAGGCCTGCACTTCGATCTCTACAAGTTACTAAGTAATAAACAGCCACTCCTCAGAGAGCAGCTTAAAACCCTGGGCAGGCTCCTTTGTTTTACCAAATCTTATGTAGGGCTGTCCAAAATCACCACATGGTACCAATATGGATTTGTTCAGCCACAAGGACCAAAGGCAAACATCTTGGTTTCTGGTAATGAGATCAGGCATTTCACCAAGTTCATGATGGAGAAGCTGAATGTCAGCCTGGAAGAAAGTGCCAGTGAGGAGTATATTGTAGTATTCAGTCGAACAATCAACAGACTTATCCTAAATGAGGCAGAACTAATTTTGGCACTTGCCCAGGAGTTTCAGATGAAAACCATTACAGTCTCCATAGAGGACCATTCATTTTCTCACATTGTACGTCTGATCAGCAATGCATCCATGCTGGTCAGCATGCATGGAGCCCAATTAGTGATGTCTCTCTTCCTGCCAAGAGGGGCCACAGTCGTGGAGCTCTTTCCTTATGCAATCAACCCCGAACACTACACCCCGTACAAAACACTGTCAACGCTCCCTGGCATGGATCTCCAGTACATTACCTGGCAGAACACTGATAGGGAAAACACTGTAACCTTTCCTGACAGGCCATGGGACCAGGGAGGAATTGCTCACTTGGACAAGGCAGAGCAGGAACGCATCATAAAAAGCAAGGAGGTTCCACGGCACCTCTGTTGTCGGAACCCGGAATGGCTTTTCCGTGTCTACCAGGATACAAAAGTCGACATCCCTTCCCTTATCCAAGTGATCAGGCAAACTGTGAAATCAAAGCCTGGACCCAAGAAGCAGAAGTGGACTAGTGGTCTGTATCCTGGCAAGGTCAGGGATGCTAAGTGTCAAGCCTCTGTCCAAGGTACTAGTGAAGCGAAGCTCTCTGTGTCTTGGCAGATCCCCTGGAACCTTAAGTATCTGAAGGTCAGAGAGGTGAAATATGAAGTGTGGATACAGGAGCAAGGTGAAAACACTTACATGCCTTATATTTTGTCACACCAGAATCACACCTTTTCAGAAAACATTAAGCCATTCACAATATATCTGGTGTGGATCCGCTGCATCTTCAACAAAAATCTCCTTGGACCTTTCGCAGATGTACTCTTGTGTAGTACGTAACCCACTCTCTCTCATGTGTCGAGTCCTACCATGCACCCCACCACATCAGTGGTTTTAAAAACCTGTTGTCCTGTAGTTTTTTTTAGAGGGCTGAAGAGGACCAGACCATGCCAATTCCTAAGTGCCCATTTTATGCATTTACTGTGTGTGTACTCTAGGTGGCATTTATTTCCATTTGGTGTAAGAGCTGTCTGTTCCTGAAAGTAACCTCCAGAAATGAAATTGCAAGCTGAATACCTATAATTGAAAAGCAGAATGGAAGTGAATCGCGTGTAATTTGGTAGTGATTTGACTCTTTCTATTGTGCAGTGAATATTTAAGTGCAGCATTAAACTACAATTAATTATATGGCTATATGGACAATTGTCATCATCTTTCGCCATTGTAACTTTTTAAAAGCTGTATGTGTAACCCAGGTACAGGATTTGGTACAAGAGTATTCATTAAATTATTGTAAGCCTCTTCAAGAGTACTTTCCTCTTCGTATCTGTCAAAATAATTGTTTTGTAAGAATTATCCAAGATCATGGTGAAATGTATGTGTGGGTAGCTCGCTCACGCTCTTTCTCTCTGTTCTTCCCCCACCCCCGCCATATTTTGGCTGAGCAGAATAGGACTGCAGCATCAATGCTGTTTAAAATCTGGTTTTACTCTACCCCAGTAGCAACACATAAAGCTGTTAAAAGGGAGGCGCAACAGATGGAAGATGAAAAGGGATGCGATGGGTAAAACAGCTGAGTGTGGGTGGGTAGTGCAAGCAGTAATTACTATGTTTTAAGGTCTGTTTGCGTTTTGGAAGCTGTAGGCTTGTATATGGTTCTGTAGGATGGGTGGGGAATGGAGGAGGGAGGGTGGTGGGGACAGTTTACATCAACTAAATACTTTACATAAACCTTTTGTTTCCTGAAATACAGTATAACCCTGTTCATAACAGCCACCAAGGGACTAATAATTCTATGGACACTTTAACAGGTGGTTGCTTAACTCTGATTAATAGGTGAGCTCCCTTATGGGATCGGAGATTTTACTGGCTGTTAGTAGACAAGACTACAGTTAGCAGGTAATCACTAGGACACGTATCACTCTATTATACTGAAGAGAAATTGTGTGCTATGGGCCAGATTCTGATCTTGGTTACACCGAAGTCCAGAAGAACTCCACTGAACTCAGTGGCAAGGGCATCGGAACCTTTTGTAGAAGTGGGGGGGGGCAAGGGCAAAGTGGATTCCAGTGTCCCTTCTCCCATCCTGTGCTCCCTTCTTCCCTAGCTCTTGTGCTCTCTTGCAGTGCCCCCTGCACACTGGCACCTGGTGCAGTCTGTCTCCTACTCTCCAGCAGCTGCACTTAGCTTGCTGGGAACCAGCTGCACAGCCCATCCTCCTTCTGCCCTTCCCACCAGCCGCCGTCTGGCCCCTGCAGCACTGTGAGCAACTCCCCCGCTGCGAAGCATAGTCCCTGCCAGCGCCGCTATGTACCTTCCCGAGGCTTGCAGTTTGGGGAGGCCATGGCCCCTTGCCCCCCATCCCCACCCACTTCTGGTTCTGGTGGTCAGTGGAATTATTAAAGATTTACACTGTGGCTCAGTGTAACCAGGATCTGGTGCTATGGTTTTATCCTCTTAATTTGATGGATTTCTGGGGCTCTGAAAAGGGTCAGCTAAGGCTCTATCCTGCAATTATTCAAATGAGTATTTCTAGGAATGGGCCCTTAATTATGTTGCTTTTGTAAAACCATGTAGGGTCAGACCTCTGGGGGTGTAAATTAGCCTGCTGCAGAGAAATCAAGGGGATTTGGCCTATACTGTACTTAATGTCTTATTGGGTAAGGTACTTGAAGAATTTAATTTATAACTAAGGTTAAAGAAACTGGGAAGTGCTTCTTTCCAGTTCTGCACGAGCAGCTGTGTAGTGGAATAGATCTCAATCCATTAATGGGATACCACCTGAGAGATGAGTCTTCAGGCAAGATTATGATACGGCTTTTGAAATACTAAAAATGTGTGGAATAAAAGGAGGGCTGGAAAACAAATAAAATGATGTACAAAAGTAGGTGTTGAGGCTGGCACGTATTCTGTGAATGCATTTCCATTATGTTTTGGTTTTGTTTTCAAGCATGGGGGGTTTTTATTATGAAGTCACATTTGCTTCACAGTTCTGTCATCCTGGATGAACGATATAGTTTAAAGGGGACTATTGATATTTCTATCATCTTGTATGTTCCTAGGACTAGATGAACTACTTGATGAGTCAGGTACTACCCATCGTAATGGTGGCTGTTTCTGGCCCCTAGATCTGCAAGGCCTCCATCTGAAATGGGCCTTCAAAGGGCTGAGCTTTGAATTTGTTCTTACAAGTATTCAGAAAAAAATCTCTTTGGGTGTTAAGCTCTATGTGTTCTGATAACAAACTCTGCTGTTGTGAGACACATACATCTACGTGTGTGCGTGTTGCTTAGCTGCACTTTTTGTAACAGATTCATTTTTAGAATGCCATTTTGCCACCCCTTCACCCAAATGTGGACAAACCCTTTTAATTTAATTAGTTTTCTATTGTAGCTAACTTCCTAACGTTTGCAGATTGGTTACATCACATTAACTTATTGTCTTCACATATCCACAGTGGCATCCTAATGTCTCTAAACATAATTGTCTGTAAAAAACCAAGACTGCTTACAGTAGATATGGACCTAATTTTTTGAACCATTACATTCTATTGACTTAACACTTATACAAATGTAAGGCGATAAATTGTGCAAGCACCTTTTCCCAGAAGATCAAACATGTTGGGTTTAGTTTGTGGGTCCAGGTGGCAGTGGCCTGTAGTATACAGGGGGTCAGACTCGATGACAGTCCTTTCTGACCTTGAACTTGATTCTGTGCTTTGCAAACATGTGTATGTTCAGTGCTAGTTCCCCAACCGATGTGGTGCATATTTATATAAGATAGTAATGAACGCAAAGGGTAAACATTTTTTTTTCTCTCACCACTAAAGTGTAAAAGAAGGGAAGCTAAACTACAGACCTCTTGATTGAAACTGTAGAGATCTTACTAGCCCTCACCCCAATACAAGAATGTCTGCAATAGGGCTTCACTATCCCATCCTGAGGTCACCTTGTGTCTACCAGGTTGCAATGAATCCATTCAATGTCAAGGCCCAGACCCTGATCCATAGCTGTTGCAATTCAGCAAAGATCCATTGACTGCAATGGTGCTATGCTGACTTATGCCAGCTGAAGATCTGGCATGGAGTTTTAGCCTTGCCTCTGTAGTTGATTGTTTTTGTTGGGTTTTTTTGGGTTTGTGGGTGTGTGGTTTTTTTTTTTTTTTTTTTGGCATTTCCACCAAAGCTCTGAGGTTCCACTCCATTTTCTCTTCTGTCGACCAAAATTCATCTGTTTTACTTCCCATTGTCCTTGATGGCTTATGACACAGCCTCCGTGTTTCAGGCTGAAGAGAACTTGACGGGGCTTGATTCTGTCAATGCTGCTTCTTAATTAAGCCAAAAGGATTGCTTTGCATTTAATAGCAATGCCTTGTAATGAATTTGTATGCTACATAAGCAGTAACTGTCTGGATCCCTAACATGCATAGGCGCTTTCGTTCCAAACCATAGGCGTCTACCAATTCAGCCAAAGGGAGCTCCTTTCAAAAAGTAGTAGGAGCAGCTGTAAGTCCCTAGTAGGCTGCCACTACATGGCAACATCGCTCCCTCATGCGCACACACAGACGAACAGTAGTGCCTCTGTGGCACTATCAAGCCAACCTACGTTACATTATCCACATAACTAAAGTAGCGTAACTGAAGTCGACGTAACTTAGGTCAACTTACCACGGTGTCTACACGAGATGCTGTCCCGCTGACTTACCTGACTCTTCTTGGAGAGCTGGAGTACCACAGTCGATGGAAGAGCACTCTGCCGGTAAGTGTAGACACTGCTGTCCGGGAGCATGAGAAATGGAAGGAGTTTAAATCCCAGATGCTCTCTTGACAGTACAAAACACTAAAAGCAGATTCTCAAGCCATCTTAGAAAAGGCCTTTAGGTAGCTTGAATACATTTACAATGCCTAATTGTCTGGGACAGGTTTCTCAAACTTCGTTGCACCACAACTCTCCTCTGACAACAAAAATTACTACACGATCCCAGGAGGATCTAAAGCCTTAGCCCACTCGAGCTTCGCTGCCTGGGCTGGGAGGGGCAAAAGCTGAAGCCCAAGAATGTCTGCCCCAGGCGGGAGGCCTGTAACCAGAGCCCCACCATCTGGGACTGAAGCCTTTGGGCTTTGGCCCTGGGGGGTGGGGCTCAGGCTTCAGCCCCAGCAAGTGTAACGCCAGCCTTGGTGATCTCATTAAAATGATTGCGACCCACTTTGGGGTCCTGACGCAAGGTTTGAGAACCGCTGGTCTAGGATATGATAAAGAAATATTCTTATTTTAATTGATGTAAATGCTAGGAGCACAGGGCCTCCTTGTCTTCCACTCTCCCAGGAAGAATTGGGTGGAGGAAAATGGAATGGAATATTTATCAGATTGCATGTGAAAAGGGATTGAAGTGGCACTATTGTTTATGGGTGGGATTTTCAAAAACACACAAGTGACTTAGATGAGGTCCCAGTGATGATTTTTTTTTCTTCTTTTAATGGAGCTTGTGTTCCCAAGTTTTGTATGCTTTTGAAAATTCCATCCTGTAATGAAATGTCCTGCTTTTTCTGTAATCTGATCTGAAGCAAATTTCCTGGGAAGCATGTGTTACCCAAACTAGTTACCAGAATTTATACCTGGTTGGAGATGGAGACCTGTGAATGAAGCATGTCTAGCGGGGCCTTTCCATAAAGAAGAGCAATGCAGTCATCTTTTGCTCAACGTGATTGGGAAAACAGTCGCTGCAGTGGAGAGATCTCTGAAGAACCTGAAAGGATTTGAAGCAGTTGCACAAGGTAAGGAATGGAAAAAAAAAAAAAAAAAAAATTGGGTCAGACGAGCTCTCTCAAGGCGAGCCAGAATTGTTCATGAAGGGAGGGACCAATCCCAGGGCAACTTGACTGAATGCTTTTGGGGTGATTGGCGGCTGGAATCTGTTTGAGGAAATTACTAGAGTTCTTATTGGTATGACACTGACTAACAGCAGCTTTCCAGGGACCTGGTGTATTGGAAAGTATTAACATTTAAAGTTTAATATTTCTGTATTATTTGATTATATTTATTAAATGAAATCATTTGAGCTGTTCTTAATCCTACTGCGTGGTTAGCTGTGTTCATTGAATGGCTTTTGATATCCTTGCTCTGTGTAAGAGACACACAGGCTACCATTTGGAGTTTAGGTGATTTATAGTTACGTGACTTAGATTGCTCCCACAGTGGCATACGGGATGCAGGCAGACCATCAGGCTATAAATCAAGACCTGTAATATTGGTCTTGGGTGAATGATACTTTTATATTGATGAAATTCAGATTCCACTGAGAGGCCGAAACTCCTATTCTCCGCTGAAGGAAAGCCTGCTGAACCCTTTGGACAGATGCCGTGCTGGGGGAGTGAGTTGGTAGCCAGCTACTATTTAGTTGTACCAGCAACTAGCTGTATTGCACTGCCAATAAAACTCTATTGTAGCTTACCCCAGCACCATTAGCTGTCAAGTTGAAAATATAGAAGGGTAAACCTAATCTGATCAGGCCTGCATCTACCATCAAATACGAGTTGCTATATTTTGTAGCAGATTTATTGTGCTCTTTTTTTTTTTCTTTAATTGGGCCTACAAACCTATTCATTCTTTTGGCTTCTCTATGTAGCTACCGCACATATATTCCCCTTCCCCCCACCCCCAAAATGATGGATAGCATCCCCTTGGTAAAACTAGACTCATGGACTAGCAATCTGTGGCAAATTTTATGTCTTCAAAATGACTAGAACTTGTCAAAACACTGGAAAAATAATTGTGATATCCAGGTTTTCATTTTGTAGGGTTAAAAATAAACCTCTATTTTTCTTTCAAAGTTGATTTTGATTTTTTTTTTCATTTTTTTCCAGTCACTTTTGGATTTCTGAAAATGACTGGGAGCAGAGGGGAAGAATGGAAAAGAAGCAAACACTAAATATGAAACATACCCACAAATGTTGAAAATGAACAATTTTTCATTTTGAACAAAAGCCATTTTAAATGAAAATTTTCATCCAAAAAATGTTGACCTGCTCTGCAAATGAGTTTTTTAATCACTTCATTCTCCACATTTCCACAGGTAATATGCGACTAGAAAGGGGTGTGTGTGTGTGTGTCACTCCCTTTTGAAGTATGTACATTGGGGTGACCTGTACTCCAGTAGCCATTAGTCCCTACAAAATACCATATATCTGCATATAAACTGACACATAGGCCAGAATTTCAGGCCTACTTTTTGGAAGTTGTCTTATGCATGGATTGGAGAGGGGCCCTGAATAGGCGTATGCACTAGCAAGAGCTTTTTGAGGGTGCCTTACAGTCAAATTGGAGAAATAAATGCCCCTGGCACTATGGAGCAGCTAGTCTGGTCAGAGTTGTAAAACAAAGTGTTTGTTCATAAACTCCATCCTTTTAACCCAAGCCAGACCAAAAGTAATGGCAATGTCCCCAACCAATAGTCAGGGCCATCCTAAGAGGTACCTTTCCTCACCAAGCAATTTCAAGCAAAAGCCTGACTATCCAAATGGGATTTGCAGTGTTTACAAAACTTAAACTGGTGCTTTGGCCGCACAGGTGGTAGCCAAATTGGGGGGTGTGTGTGTAATTTTATGTCAAAATTTTGACTAGCTCTATTTATTGGACCAAAGGGAAAAGCAAAGGGGAAAGCAAATTCCAGACTGGGAATCTCTCTCCTGAAAGGGCCATGCTGCTTGCTCCTAGGCATTGAAAATCAGGGAGCTGTAAATGTGATGTGTGGGGAGTTTGCATAAGCGGTCATGCAAATTAACAACATGGTGACCGTACTGGTATTAGAAAGCAGAGCTCCACAGTCATGGCACAAAGCTGCTGAAATAGCAAGATCCTTCTGCACCCTGGAGAACATCCATCAAAGTATTCTTGTGGGAGGAAATTAATGGAGATAACCCCTAGATTTTTTAAAAAAAGTTAAAAGGTAAATTCTTATTGCAAGATTAGGTACAGGTTGATCAGCATGACTCTAGCAGTTACTGGGTTAAAGTATCTATGATGTTAGTGAATTGTGCCAGAACATCTCACTTCAGTAGGAAAGATTCAAGTTCACATTTTTGATACTTCCATTTGCATATTCTGACACTTTAAAATGCTCTTATTACAGTGTTACCAGACACACACAATGACTGTCGAAGAGGAACTACACAAATACTGCAAAAATTAATGAAGAGGAACTGTTTTAAGGATCTCCAAAGCAGCAACTGAATACATGAGAAGAATTGAAAGGGACCTTATGTCAGTAGCTAATTGGCATAGTTGAGGTACACACACTCTCCACAGCATGCCTGCTCCCTATACCAAGGTGGGAATGCAGCGGCTGAATACAGGAGCCAGCTCCATCACCTGCAGCTTTATGCTAGCAGGGAACTCACTTCCACAAGCAGAATGATGCAAAAAGGCCAGAACAGACTGGAGAATCCAGCTCTGTCACTCTCGAGGCAATGATATCTGGTTGCAACTGGGTCCTTTGAGTCGAGAGGCCAGGTTCTGCCCCTGAGTCTCGCACTCACTGACTTTTGTCATCTTGAACACACCACAAAGGCATACATTTTCAAAAGTTTTCACCAATTTTATTGTTGACACCCAATTTGAGCCACTTACTGCCTGATTTTTGGAGATGCTCAAAACCCCCAACCCCAGCTGATGTCAACTGGAACAGCTGGTGCTCCACACCCTTGAAAATTGGGCTTTGGGGTCTCGAGCTGGGCAAGCAAATATAGGGGACACTTTTTTTAAAAAAGTGTGTGTGTGTGTGTATGTATATAATATAATATAATATATGCCCAAACCTGCTTGCTGTGTTTTATGAGTAGACCCCCTGGACCTGTGCACAGTCCTATTGAATTCAGTTGGGATCTGCAGGTTCAGGGCCTGAGAGCTTAACCTGTCTGCTTGAATTTATCCCACTTGTGAAATGGGGAGAATGACATATTCCCAGCTTTATAAAGCCTTTTGATGTCTTCAAATGAGACTCTATATAAACACAATTATTTAATTTATAACAAACATGAGGATTTTGAAGGTTTTTTAAATTACTGTTAACACTCAGCTGTTGAGCTATATAAATAGCAGGTTTTATTTCTAAAATATTTTTGCTTCTGGTGGGTTTGTGCATTGTGAGATTTTATAAGTTTATGGGATAAAACAACATTTAATTTTTCCCTGGTGGATCTGGGATAGAAGCACTCTTGGAAATACTTTCAATGTAATGACTGATAATCCATCTGGGCTGTGGGTGGTATGAAAAGCATTGCCAGCTCTGTATCAGGCATCCTTATGTCAGTGAGATAAGTCACCTCCTCCAAAATGTCTTGTAATGGAGTTTGGGCTAGATTCTCAGCAGGGGCAAATTAGTGTGGCTCCATTCAAGTCAATTAATCTATGCAAATTTATACCAGCTGAGCATCTGGCCCTTTGTCTTTATCATCTCCAGTTGTCTCTACCAGAAGTGCTTACTACTAAATTAATTATTGCACATTCAAAAGCCAGATAAATTGAGTAGTCTGTTTTCTGTCATTTTTAAATTTGTTGCTTTTCAGTATAATTGAATATCCCCTTGTCCTTGCATTATCTGAATAGATAACTAGAAGTGTTGGATTTCCCCTCTCTTTAACATTCATTATTGTATCTCCTCCCCTCCTCTTTTTCGCCTTTCTGAAGAACAGTCCCACTTGTTTCAGTCTCTTCATATGGCCTGTGATGGGATGTTAGATGGGGTGGGATCTGAGTTACCCAGGAAAGAATTTTCTGTAGTATCTGGCAGGTGAATCTTGCCCATATGCTCAGGGTTTAGCTGATTGCCATATTTGGGGTTGGGAGGGAATTTTCCTCCAGGGCAGATTGGAAGAGGCCCTGGAGGTTTTTCGCCTTCCTCTGTAGCATGGGGCACGGATCACTTGCTGGAGGATTCTCTGCTCCTTGAAGTCTTTAAACCATGATTTGAGGACTTAAATAGCTCAGAAATAGGTGAGAGATTTTTTCGCAGGATTGGTTGGTTGAAATTCTGTGGCCTGCGTTGTGCAGGAGGTCAGACTAGATCATAATGGTCCCTTCTGACCTTAGTATCTATGAAGGCTTCCTATGCGTCTGATCATTTGTCACCTATCTCTAAACCCCAGTTTCTTCTGTATCATTTTTGAGCTAGGGTGACCAGAACAGTACTCCAGATGAGGGCATTCCATTGACTCATATAATGGCAATGTGATATTGTCAGTGTTGTTTCCTTTCCTATCCCATATGCTCCCAAACTTATGTTTGCTTTTTTTCAATTGCTGCCTCAGATTGAGCCAGAGGCTTTCACTGAGCTTTCCACAATGGTCGTCTTCCTGAGTTTATGGCTAATTTAGCAAAGTGTCTGAGTGGTTCAGATTATTCAAATTTATTGCTTGCCATGGGTATTGCTTTGCACATGCCATTGAATTTTGTTTGAAGTCCCTCAGAGCTTTCTGTAGTATTGACAAAACTACACGGGTATAAATATATATCAGTGTGTGTGTAAATATATTGGTTTTAATATAAATATTTTAAACAAAACTGGTCCTATCGGGAAACATTGAGGCAAGCCTTATTAACCTTTAGCCATGCTGAAAATTTGACCGTTTATTTTCTGTCTTTCCTTAATAGCTGCTAGTGTAGAACTTTGGCAAAGGCCTTTGGAAAAGCCAAATAAACTTATATCCAGTGTTTCTCCTTTTGTCTATTATATAGGTATCCTGTTCAAAGAATATCAGTAGATTAGAAAGGCATGATTTTCCTTACAGAATCTGTGCTGGGTTGTCCCTATTGTACAATGGTCATCTGGAATAAACTCTTGCCTGTGCCCCAAACAACCATCTCCAACTGTAGCTTTCTCAAAATATAGCTTTTCATGGGTGGTCATGTAGTTAGGCCTAGTGTGCACTGTGGTTTTGCTTTCTTTCAGCTGCTGGTCATTGGTACACAGTATTTTTTCATCTGAGGTGTTACCACATACCCACGTAGAGTGGATATTGGATTAATAGAACGTGTGAGCATTTCCAGGCTCAGAAGGTGTTGTAAAAGGAAGCTTTGCTGAGTGACAGCATCACTCACCTGGAAGTTGGTCAAGTGGAAAGAGTTCCCCATATCTTACACTGCCTCACAAGAGCACTGTAACAAGATAGGATAGCTCTATCACCTTAGAAAATGAATGCTTCTGTGAGAAGTCATTTGCAAAGGGTACCCAGGAGGGTTTCTCCATGTCTTGGGTTCAATAGTACATTTGCCTGTTCCCAAGCACTCTCTTTGGTAATATCCTGGCTCAGTCACCAATCTGGAATAGGCAAATAAGGCAGGGGGTAGCAAGTCAGATGAAAGATGCAACAGATACTTGAAATTAGCAGAGAATATGTAAAGCGGCCAGTCTGCAGATGACTTGGATTAACTGTAGGCAGTTATGTGGCTGTTGTAACCAGCACAGGATCTGGGGCTCAGCTGCAGGAGTTGGAGTCGTGCATAGATGGGACCTGCTCCTATCTGACGCTTCCAGCAGGTCCTGGGAGGGGGTAATTGGTAGTGTGCCTCTCCCTCTATTCTTACAGATTGCACTAGAATTTGACACACATGTTGCTGCAGAGAACTGAGGGCCTTGATAGGAGGAATATTCACAGCACTTCCATGATGAATTAGTTTCTACTGCTCCTTAAGTAATAATAAAACCTGTCAGTTCCTCATTTATTTTTATGAGTAGCTATTCACACAACAGCTCAAGTCTAATTCAGTTGTTGATACGGACATTTTAAACCAAGGTGCTTTTTAAAATGTTGAATGAAAACCAAAGAGAATTTTTATTTCGATTTCAACATTCCCCCAACCCTGCCACTTGTGCAGTCAGATTCTGCCTCCTTTGCTCTTACTCAATAGTTCTTTACATCCCAGTAGTCCCCTGGATTTCCATGGGACTATTCATGAAGTGAGGCGCTTCTCAATGGGGGTAAGGGTGGCAGCATCTGGCCCAGAGTGGTTTTGAGCTGGGGTTTTGATTCAGGCCCTTCTCTAAAGGAAATCTTTCCTCACGTAAAGTGGTCTGTGTTTTGTACTAGTGCCTGGCACAATGGGCTCCTGGTCTATGACTGGGATCCCTAGACACCACCACAATACAATCAATCACTGATCAGAGTTGCCTCTTTCTGATTTTGTTACATGTACATTTTATTACCACACTACTTTCCATGCACTGCAGTGGAACATCCTCTTCACATTTTCCTGTTGCTAATGTGCCCATCACTGCAGTAATATTAAGAACTCTGATCCCTGAAAGGGAGCATGTGCAGAGCAACCCCCAAAATGATGGCGCATTATATAAGCGCCGAGTAATCATGCACTGGATTGGCACTGGCAATGTATCTTTGACGCCTTCATAGTCGTCGTCTGGTTAGAGACATCCCTGTTCCTTGCTTGATAAAGCTTTTAATATTAGATTTTATTTTCCTAGCCAAGATTTTAGATTTATGGCTCAAAGAAAGACCGTCTGTAATTACACTGCAAGCACTTTACAAGATGTCCTAGTGCTGTGCATGTCTTGTTAGTGACAATATGTAACAGATCTGGATTAGAAAATAGTGGATGAGGCTGCTGTTTAAACTGCCTAGCAGGGTAGGGGGATTGGCAGATTTCCCGCAAAAGCTTAATGAAATGTCTGTTTTTATGGGATTCTTACTGAAAAGGGGATGGGAAAGAAGGGGGGGCAGATGGAACGTTGCCATCTGGGATGTGTTGTTGTCTTTTTTTTTATCACAGACCAATGCAACATTGTGAATTCAGTCCCACCATTTGAACGGGCACACAGGAAGCTTGCATTTTTAAGATTTGCCATTTGTAGAGGCAATCTTCCTGATCTGCCCTCTCTTCAGTATTAAAGGATGTATCCTACCTACGAACTTACCTTTTTATTGGCCCCTTTAAAGAATCCACTTGCTTTTTCGCTTTTATAGGAAGGAAATTTTGGATGGACTCCATAGGAGAGAAATATGCCCTGAAAAACATACTCATTTCTGATTTAAAATCAAGGAGCCTCTGACAGCATTGCTTGCTAGTTCAAGTGTTGCTTTGTATGTCCTTATGCAAGAATGGTGCTGTGAGACTGAGTGCATATGCCACACTAGGGATGCAAGAGGAAATAGCCTTAATATGAGAAAGGAGACCTGTGTCTCATATGCATCTATATTTTACAGATAACTTTTACTATCTATTTTCTTTTGATCTTGAAATAAGTATTGATTTAATATTCCCTCTCCCCCGCTCCCCCCGAGGCCTAAATTCTTTTTTGTTTTGATAGGAGATGGAGGGGGAAGGCGCTTTGTCTGCCAACCATGCAAGATTGGTTCATCCTAACAGAATGCTCTGCTGTGTATAATTTAAAAGCATGTTATCCCATGGTAGGTTAGATTCTTTAGACAAAAGAGGAAAAGTGAAATATTTCATCTCAAAACCAAAGGAGCAATTCAGAAATGCCACTGCAGCGCTTCATGGGTGTTGCAGTTCAGATGCCTCATGCTCCTGCTCCCTTCCTCCTCCTTGGCTAGACTACACCTTGACGAGGAGAGGCAATGCAACATGGGAGCCCCTGGCCCTGGTGCATCATGGGAGCCGTAGGCTGGCTGGGGAGCCTGGCCTATAAAGCAGAAAGAGGACATTGAGACAACTAATCTACAACTCCCATGCAGCATTGCGGCAGTATATCTGAAATTAAACATTTTGGTTTTCAACCAACATATTTCAGTTCTCAA